AAAAGCCTTTTTTTATATGAGGATTTTTTAAAAATCCGAGTTAAACCGAATAAAAGCGGATTTGCGCTTTTTTATCTTTAATTTTAAACCCCCAACCCGCCCGGCTGAGTTTCCCCCCCTCCCCCCGAACTGGCTTAAAATACAAAAAAATAAAATTACAGCCGGGCAAAAAGGAATTTAACGCTCCAGAAATTCGTTGTCTCGCCGATATTCGGGGGCAGAATAAAAAATAAACGAATTTTCGCCGCTAACGGCCGCATTACGGCGCGATTGGAATCGTAAATTAAAGCGATTTCTCGCAACTCCGGGAAAAGGGGGGGAAGCAGGAAAATGGGATTGCTCCATAAAAAGCCGGCAATGAGCCGATATTTCTTATTCCAGGCGGCGGGGATGGGTTTAATTTCGGTAATTTCGGTAATTCCGGCGCGAGGATCATTCCGGGATAATTTCATTTTAAATCCCCTCATAAAAAAAAAAAACCCAGCGGACAAAAAAAAAAAGAAAAATAAAAAAACCCTAATTTTTTCTAATTTTTTCGCGGCGCGGATAAGTGGATGTCAGCTCGAGACGACGAGAAAATCAACATTTTTCCCCCTAAAAAAGAAATAAAGAGTAATTCCATCATTTAAAGCCGCGGAGATAAATGTCAGGGCGGGATGAAAACGCGGCGGATTTGGGGGTTTAAAGATGACAAATGCCCCACAAAAACGGCTTTTTTCGGGGTTTATTATCATTATTTTTAACCGCTTTGATGAATTCTCCGTCTCTTCCCTACCGAGCATTGTAAAGATAATTTTAATTTTTTTTCCGAAGCGACAAAGGAGAATATCTTTAATTTCCCCCCATTTTTTGGCGGTTTTAAGTGGTTTTTATGGTTTTCTCCTTTTAACCCTCCTGTAATAAAGGGAGGAAAAATCTCCTTGTAGGAAAAACGGGATAAATATTCCCCAAAAATCCGATTTTTCTTAGCACAAACTGCACATTTATGGCTGATAAACACCTTCTGCCACCCACGGGGGAAAACCCAGAATAATTCGCATTTTTCGTGATTTTTCTGGGGGGAAACCACCTGGACTTGGGGATTTCGGGCAATTCCCGAGCATCCCTCGAAATTCCCATTTTTTGGGGCGTTTTTCCCCTTCCCACCGCCATTCCAGAGGCAACTCGGGCTGAAAATGCCCCAAAATTCGATTTCTTGCACTGGTTTTTCTTTTTTCCCCCTTTTTTCCCCCTTTTTTCCCTTTCCCCCCCCTTTTTTCCTTCCCCTTTCCCAGTATCCATCAATTCCGAACCTTTCAGGGAATTCGCTCCATTTATCATTAAAAAACCGAGGTGAAAAATGGGGGGAAATGAGACAAATTTGCTTGGGAAGGACCGAAATTAACGGAAATTTCGGGGAATATTTGAGAATTTTCCTCATTTTGGCGAAAGAGGGGAGAGTTCTTTTGATGGGAATGAAAAAAATACCGTAGAAATTGAATTAAATTGAATAAAATATAAACGTGCAGCAGTGGGGGAAAAGCGGGGTTAATAATAATTGTTATTATTAATAAGTATATTAATAAAGTCCTTTTTGTGGTGTCCATAAGGGAAGAAAGGAGAATTAAAAAAAGAAAATTTTCCCATCTGGGGGGAAAGAAAAGAATCGACGAATGAATAAATGAATAAATTAATGACCAAATTAATTCACAATATTCCCTTTTTATATCCCCACCTCCAAAATCGCCGCGATTCCACCCAAAATTCCGGCAGGAAAAGGCGCCTCCCGCCCCATCCCGGCTTTTTTCCCGAGGGATTTTCCCCCAAAAAATAGAAATTCCCAAATTTCCCTTCCCCAGCCCTCCCAGAGGCGACAAAAAGTCTCTGAAACGCCGAAATTTTGCAATATTTTGATTTTATTGGGATTTTTTCCCCAGCTCCAGGCGGACAATTAACAGCGAATTTAACGAGGTTTTTATAAATTTTATTTATTTTTGTTTTCCCGCCCCCGCTCGCCGGGGGAATCCTCCAGAATTGACCCAAATATTGGGATTTTTCCCCAAAAAAAAGTTGTTTTTTGGCGGCCGGAGGTGATTTGGGGGCGGGGCGGTGGAAGCAGAGACGACACCGCGCTCGCTTGGAACCTTTTTATTCTTTAATTCGAATTAATTTGAATTATTCTCGGTATTCACGACACGTCTCACAACACAAATCCACGCTGGCCAGAGGTTGGCTTTTTCCTTCATTTATTTTCCTTTTTTTCCCCCTTTTTTAAATCAATATTTTTAATATTTTCCCGTCAGGAATCGCAACATCCAGAGGTGGAACACGCAGAACGACGAGCTGGCTTTTTAATCATTATTTTATTATTATTATTTTAATTTTTTTTTGTACATAAAAACAGACGACGATTTTTTTTTTCTTTTTTTTTTTTTTTTCTCCTCCTCAGGAATTTTTTTTCCCTTTTTTTTTTTTTAATTTTTTTTAATTTTATTTTTCATTTTCCGAGCATGAACAGATAAAAGTCAAGACAAATAGATAATAACTCTACATTCAGTGCAATTGATTCCTACACTACTTTATAAGCACAATAAAATAATAACAATACTGTGCGTTCTCAACTAGGCAGTTTCAGTTGTTGGGTTGGTTTTTTTTTTTTATTATTTTTATTTTATTTTTTTATTCATCATCATCATCATCATCATTATCATTAATTAATTATTTCCAAGAAAATAAGCAGCAACAAACGACAATAAAACCGCATTACAAATACTTCCAAAGCATGACTCCTTCTATAGGTAGTGATAAGTACAATACAAGGTTGTTTTTTTATTTTTTTACTATTTTTAATTATTATTATTTATTATTATTATTAATTATTATTTTTTAATATTTTTTTGGCTACTTAGTAGCTTGCATCGGGGCCGCTCGCTCTCCTCTGCTATTTTAAATTATATTTTCGGAGCGAATTTGAAGATCTGGAAGGCCCCTGGTTTGCTTAATTAGGGTTGATAATTAAATTATTGCAGGTTTTCCCTTTAGGTAGTACAGGAAGAACTTAGAGTGCTCACGGACAGCGGCAGAAAAACGCGGGAAACGGGGAAAAAAACACGGGAAAACATGGAAAAAAATGGTTTAAAATACGGAATAACACTGAAAATACATGGAAAAAACACGGGGAAATGGGGAAAAACACGGGAAAACACGGGGGGAAAGTGGGGAAAAATGTGGAAAACCACGGAAAAAAAGAGAAAAATTATGGAAAACTTGGAAAAACGTGGGGAAAACTGTGGGGAAACATGGAAAAAAGCCATGGAAAAGGCAAAGGGAGGGATGCGCGGCTTGGCCTGTCCAGGGATTCCCAAAAACTCCTGAAAAAAAGCGGATTTGGGGCTGAGCCAGGTGAGTCCCAAAACCCCGCAGGGAAAAGGGAGAATTCCAGGCAAAATCTGGGAAAATCTGGGAAAACCTTCCGGGGTCGTTTGGGAGACTGAGAGGAGGGAAATAAAACTTAAAAAAGCAAAAATCGCCCCAAAAAAACCCCAATAAAAGCGGGACAAAGTCAAAGGTGTTCAAATAAACCCGAATTTGGGACATTTCCCTCACGTTTCACTCCCACTCCTTGGAATAACTCTTTTCTTACATTTTTTTTTCCCTAAAATTCCATTTTTAATCCTAGAGATTTAAATTTAAAAACGCTCCCAAAATAAAAATTTGGGATGAGCAACGACATTTCCATCCCAGCCTGGATTAATAACTCTGATAATTCCGTTTTTAATCCGATTTCCCACACACACACACAATTTACAGAACTAAAAAAGAGTGAAAATAGGGGGGAAATGGGAGAAAAAAGCAGGAATTAGGGAATTTTCTCTGGCAGTAAAAACGGGATCCCAAATTCACATTTGGGACGAGCCGTGACTTTTCACTCCCAGCCCCGGTTAATGACCCGGTTCAGCCGCGTAATTTCATTTTTTATCCGATTTTCCCCTCCAATTATAAAAAAAAAAGGGAAAAACGGGTTAAAAAACAGGTGAAAAAAAAGGGGGAAAAGGGGGAGAGAGAAGAAAAAAAAGGGATAAAAAAGGAGAAAAAATTATTTAAAAAGAGGGGGGGAATGATAAAAAGGCAGGGAAGGACATAAAAAGGGGGAAAGGAGGCAAAAAGTGGGAAAACGGAGGAAAAAAGGGGGAAATTATTTCAAAAAGGGGTAAAAAGTATAAAAAAAGGGAAAATGGAAAATGAGGAAAAAAGTGTCAAATAGAGGGAAAAAAGGGGGGGAAGGAGGGAAAAAAAGGTGGGGGGAAGGAGGAATAGAGGGGAAAAGGAGGAAAAAGGATGAAAAAACAGAAAAGGGGGAAAAGGGGAAAAAGGAGGAATAAAGAGGGGAAAAGGAGGAAAAAAGGGGGAGAATAGAAAAAAAGGAGGGAAATGAGGAATAAAGGGAGGGAAATATTGAAAATAAAGGGGAACAAATAGGGGCAAATTAGAAAAAAGGGGAGGAAGGAGGAAAAAAGGGGGGAAATAGGCAAAAAAAGGGAAAAGAGGAGGAAAAAAGTGGGGGGATTGTTAGAAAAAAGTGGAAAAATAAGGAAAAATGGGAAAAAATAGAAAAAAGGGGTAAGGAGGAAAAAAGGGGGAGAAAGGAGGAAAAAAGTGGGGAAAATTAGAGAAAAGGGGGGAAAGGAGGAAAAAAGGGGGGAAAGGAGATAAAAAGTGGAAAAAATCAGAAAAAATGGGGGAAAGGAGGAAAAAAGGGGGGAAAGTAGAAAAAGGGGATAAAAAGTGGGGAAAAATCAGAAAAAATGGGGGGAAAGGAGGAAAAAAGTAGGAAAAATCAGAAAAAAATGGGGGGAAAGGAGGAAAAAAAGGGAAAAAATTAGAAAAAATGGGGGAAAAGGAGGAAAAAAGGGGGAAATTATTGGAAAAAATAGGAAAAAAGGAGGAAAAAGTGGGGAAATTACCAGAAAAAAAGGAAAAAGGAGCAAAAAAGTGGGGAAAATCAGGAAAAAAGGGGGGAAAGGATTAAAAAAGCCCCGAAAAAAAGCAGGAATAAGGGAACCCTCCCCGCCAATAAAAAGGAAAAAAGCCCCGAGCGCCTGACAGGTAGTTCCTGCTGGGTGAGCCTCTCCATTGGAAACTCCATAAAAGCAAATGACCGTCGTAAAGATCCCGATTCATCATCCGCCATAAAAAAAACAAAACAAAACCAAAGAAAAACAAGCGCGGAGCCTTCGGCCTCGCTCAGTCCTTGCTCTCCTCCTTCTCCTCCTCCTCCTTCTCCTCCTCCTCGTGTCCTTCCTCCTCGCCCTTCTCCTCGTCGCGGGCGGCGCCGGGCAGTTTGTCCTTGTTGTTCTCCTTCTTCCACTTCATGCGGCGGTTCTGGAACCAGATTTTCACCTGCCGCTCGCTCAGTCCCAGCGCGTGCGACACCTCGATGCGCCGCTTGCGGGTCAGGTACGGGTTGAAGAGGAATTCCTTCTCCAGCTCCAGCGTCTGGTAGCGGCTGTAGGTCTGCCGGCCGCTGCGCCGCCCCGGGGCTGCGGGAAAAAACGGGAAATTCTATATTTATTTATGTGTATTTTTGGGTTTTTTAATAGGGGTTTGTTTAATAGGAATTTATTTTTTTAAAAATTGGGGTTTGTCTTTAAAAAAATTTGATTTATTAAAGTAATATATTGGAATTTAGATAGGAAAATGGGAGTTTATCTAAAAAAATTACTGGGATTTATCTAAAAAAAATTTGGAGTTTATCTAAAAAGGATATTACTGGAATTTATCTTAAAAAAATATCGGAATTTATCTTTAAAAAATTGGAATTTATTAAAATAATATATTGGAATTTAGATAGGAAAAATGGGAGTTTATCTAAAAAATTACTGGAATTTATCTAAAAAAAAAATTGGAGATTATCTAAAAAAAATTACTGGAATTTATCTAAAAAAAAATCGGAATTTATCTTTAAAAAATTGGAATTTGTTAAAATAATATATTGGAATTTAGATAGGAAAAATGGGAGTTTATCTAAAAAAAATTACTGGAATTTATCTAAAAAAAATTGGAGTTCATCTAAAAAAAATTACTGGAATTTATCTAAAAAAAATTGGAGTTTATCTATTTAAAAAATTACTGGAATTTATCTTTAAAAATTACTGGAATTTATCTTTAAAAATTACTGGAATTTATCTAAAAATATACTGGAATTTATCTTAAAAAATTAATTGGAATTTATCTTCTAAAAATTTGAATTTATGTTTTTAAAAAATTGGAATTTGTCTTTAAAAATTTGGGATTCATCCAAAAAAAATGGGATTTATCTAAAAAAAAAAAATTGGAATTTATCTTTAAATAATTGGAATTTACCTTAAAAAATTGGATTTATCTTAAAAATAGTGGAATGTATTTTAAAAAATCGGTATTAAAAATGGAATTTAAAAAATTGGACTTATGAAAAAATGAATTAAAAATGGAATTTAAAAATTGGAATTAAAAAATTGAATATTTTAAAAACGGAATTTAAAAAATCGGAATTAAAAAAATATTGGAATGAAAAAAATTTGAATTAAAAAACATTGGTATTAAAAAAAAGGTGATTTTTGGGGCGGGGAAATGGTGAAAATTTGGTTTGGGTTGAGGTGTGAAATGCGCCCTGAAAAGGAGAAATACGCCCCTTTCGACAGAGCAAAAGCAGAACAACAACAACAACAAAAACACCCAAAAAGAACTAAAAAAGAAAGGGAAAAACCACCCAAAAAACCCATCCCCGAACAAACAAAAAACAAACAAAAGGAAAAAACCCAAAGCAACAACAACAAAAAAAAAACCCCAAACTCAATAATGATGAGGGGAAAAGCACTGAAAAACCACAGAAATGCGCCAAAAACTGATAAAAAATAGAACCCAAAAGACCCCCCTCAAAATAACCACCCAATAAAACAAAATACCAAAATAACCCCAAACCCCCGCCCCAAAAAAAGCCCAAAAAATCCCCCAAATCCCACTAAAACCCCGATAAAGAAAACCTTACCCCAAAAAAAACCCAAAACTTCTCCCTTGTCCCATTTTGCCCCCACCTTTCTGGGGTAAAAACCCAAATAATTCGATTTTTCATCTTTTTTCCGCCTGGTGCTCGCCCCTTCTGGCCCTGCTTTAGTCCCTTTTTACCCCTTTTTTCACCCCATTTTTTACCCCTTTTTTCACCCCATTTTTTACCCCTTTTTTCACCCCATTTTTTACCCCTTTTTTTGCCCCTTTTTCACCCCTATTTAATTTACCCTTTTCACCCCTTTTTCCAGTCCTTTTCTACCCCTTTTCTTTCCTCTTTTTTTGCCATTTTCACCCTTTTCTCTCCTCCTTTTCCCTCTTTCCACCCCTTTTTTCCCCTTTTCTCCCTTTTTCACTCAGTTTTTCACCCCTTTTTGCCCCTTTCTCACCCCTTTTTAACCCCATTTTCCCCCTCTTTTACCCCTTTTTAACCTCTTTTCCCCCGATTTCGCCTTATTTTGCCTTTTCCCCCCCTTTTCACGCACAAAGACCTTTCCCAAAGGGGGAAAATCCCTCAAAAATCAGATTTTTCCTAGGAAAGGTGCATTGCTCAGCAGAAAACCCTCAGCAGCCTCTTTAGCCCTTGTTTTATTATTTTATTTTACATTTTTTCTCTCTTCTTTCTTTTCTTTTTTTTTTTTCTTTCTTTCTCTAATTTTTTATCTCTTTTTCTCCTTTTTCCTCTATTTTTACTCATTTCTCTCTTTTTCCCTCATTCTTTCTCTTTCCCTCCCCTTTCCCCCCTCTTTTTTCCCTTTTCTTTCCCATTTCCCTCTTTTTTCCCATTTCCCCTTCATTCCTCTTCTCTCCCCCCTTTATTCCCTCATTTTCTTTCCCTTTTTTCCCTTTTCCTTCCTTTTTTTACCCCTTTTCTTTTCCTTTCCCACCGTTTTTCTTTTCCTTTCCCCTTTTTTCCCCATTTTCCCTTTTTTTTCCCCATTTCCCCCATCCTTCCTCTCCCCCTTTATTCCCTTCCCTCCCCCCCCAAAAAAACCCAAAATTCCCTTTTCATTTTCCACACATTCACCCCAAAACACAGACAAGGGAGGGGGTGGGGAGCTCCTTTTTGCCCAAATTCCTCCAAAATCTCCATTTTTTCTCCTCAAAACAACCCCGGATCCGAGGTCGGGAGGGGCAAACACAGACAGAGAGGGGGGGTGGAAAAATGACCCAAAAATCAAAATAAACCGGGCAAAAATGAAAATAAAACCATCTGAGGCTGCAGCCCCCGCGCTTCCTCCGGCGCTAATGAGAAAATCAATTTATTTTGGGGGAAAAAAACGCAGATCCGGCTGCAGCTCCCTGCGGGTCAAAGCTCGGATAAATAAATAACGAGTTTTCCTCCGGCGCAGCCCCTGGGCCACGTCCTCTCGCCGGTGGCCACAATTCTTCTCTTTTTCCCCCTTTTTTTTTCTTTTTTTTGGGTTATTTTGGATGCTTTGAATTTTTCAGTTTTCGCCCTAAAACCCCTCACATGGTTTGAATTACCCGCAGCTGAAATTTCAGTTATTTCCTTCCTTTTCCCCTCATTTTCCAGGCTTTGTTTTATTTATTTATTTAGAATTTCCCACTCTTTTTATTTAATTTTTTTAAATATAATTTTTAATCCCAACCCCACATCCCCGGCTGAGTTTTTTTATTTTTCTTTTTTTTTCCCCCTCCTATAAACACGAAATAGCAGCAATATAAACACGAAAAATCAACAAAAATAATGAAAATTTAAATATATATCTATATAAATATTAGAAAATCCTCCGGACCAGGTCCCACCTCTACGGCTGCGTCTCCCAGCGGTTAAAAAAGGGCATTTTTGACATTTTTGACATTTTTAAGAGCGCTGCTCTTATCAACATGCAAACAACCTCGTGGGAGCCGTATCTTACTGCCAATCCTCCAGGCAAGCCATAAAAAAAAAACATTTAAAAAAAATCCCAAGTTTTACTTTTTAGCGCCATTTCAGCTTTTTTTTTTTTTTTTTTCTTTTAAATTTTTTTTTTTCAGGGAATTCCCTCGGTTTGTTTTGGTAAAAAAAAAAAAAAAATTAAAATATTCTAGAGAACGGCCGGGTTAGAGCTGAGGTCATTCTCGCTGTTATTTTAAAAATAAATATAAAAATAAATATATTTATTTATAGATCGGGGTTTTGGGGAGAAGTCTGAATTTGGGGAGAAGAGGCCGGGATTTTGGGATAAAAGCTCGGGATTTTGGGATAAGAGGCCAGGATTTCAGGGCACGAGGCCGGAATTTTGAGTCAAAAGGGCTGAATTTGGGGTGAAACTCTGAGTTTTAGGATATGAGGCCGGAATTTTGCCATAAAAAGTCCAAATTTTGAGAGAAGAGGCCGGAATTTCGAGATAAAAGGCCGAAATTTGGGGATTAAAAGTCTCAATTTTGGGATAAGAGGCCTGAATTTTGGGCTAAAAGGTTGGAATTTTGGGCTAAAAGGCCGGAATTCCGGGCAAAAGGTGGGAATTCTGCTCAGCACGCGGCATTCCAACATCTCCACACACACACAGAGACACACACCGAGCCACGAACAGCCCCAAAATCCCCTAAACCCCACCGAAACCGACCCAAACTACCCCAAAACGACCCAAACTGCCCCAAAACGACCCAAACTACCCCAAAACGACCCAAACAACGCAATTCCAGCCCAAACAGCTCCAAAAACCACCCAAAGCCAACCCAAACAACCCAACCTCTTTTCTTTTCTTCTCCTTTCCCCCTCCCCTCCTTTCTCTTCCTTCCCCCTCCCTTTTCCCTTCTTTTCCCCCTATTTTCCCCTTTTTCCCTTCTTTTCCCTCTCATTTTCCTCTTTTTTCCTTCTTTCCTCCTCTTTTCCCCCAGTTTCTCTCCTCTCTGCTCTCTCCCCCCTCCGCCGCCTCTCGCAGCGCCCGAATGACCCAAACCCGACCCAAATAGCACCAAAAGAGCCCAAATCCCACCCGGCACCGAACCCGACCCCAACGGCACCAAAAGAACCCAAAAGGCACCAAAAGTGACCCAAACCCTGCCCGGCCACCAAAAAAACACCAAAACGAGCGAGGCCATTAAAAATAGACCCACAAAAAAGCCCCAAACCACCCCCCCCCCAAAAAAAAAAATTAAAAACAAATCAACCCAAAAGAACAAAAAACAAACAAACAAACAGCTAAAAAATTACTTTAAAAAATATTTTAAAATAAATTAAAGAAACGTTAAAAAATACGGGGAAAAAAATTACTTAACAGCAACAACACCAACAAAAAACGAAGCGAAGGGACGGCAACAAAAATCGAAAAAAAAAACAAAACCTGGCCAAAAACCCCCTAAAAATAAATAAATAAATAAATAAATAAATAAATAAATAAATAATAAAGAATATGGAATAAGGAATAAGGAATAAGGAATAAGGAATAAGGAATAAGGAATAAGGAATAGAGAATAGAGAATAAAGAATAAGGAATAGAGAATAAGGAATAGAGAAGAAAGAATAAAGAATAAAGAATAGAGAATAAAGAATAAAGAATAGAGAATAAAAAATAAAAAATAAAAAATGGAAAATAAAAAATGGAAAATAAAAAAATAAAAAAATAAGACATAAAAAATAAAAAATAAATATAAAAATAAAAATAAAGAATAAAAATTTAAATAAATAAATAAAAATAAAATATGGAAAATAAAATATTAAAAAAGGAAAATAAAAAATAAAAAAGGAAAATAAAAATAAAAATAGAAAATATCAAAATAAAAAATAAAAATAAAAAATAAAAATAAAAATTTTTAAAAATTATAAAAATAATTTTAAAAACCCCAAGGAAATTAAAATATAATTTAAAAAATAAAAAAAATAATTAAAAAAAGAGGCAATGCCCGTTTGCGCTCACCGTGCGGCCTCATCCACGGGAACATCAGGCTGGGCGAGGAGCTCTGGCTCAGGTGCCCCCCTTGCCCCTCGGCCCCGCCGCCGCCGCCGCCGCCGCCGCCGCCGGCCGAGGATTTACAGTCCGCGTAGGGCACCGCGGGCGCGTCCTGCTGCGCGCCGTACAGCGCCTGCCGCGGCAGCGCCTCGTAGCCGTAAAACTTGGAGGCATCGCCGTGGCAGGCGAGCGCGCAGGGCGCGTTCTGCTGGTAGCCCGAGGGGCTGGAGATGCCCGAGGCGCCGTGGTGGAAGAACTCCTGGACGTGGTGCGAGGGGTGCTGGAAGGACGGCGCGGCGCCGCCGGGGCCGTACAGAACCGCCGCGGGGCTCCGGCCCACGCTCTGCGGGAAGCGGCAGTCGTAGTAGGTCGGCTCCAGCGACTCGCCGCCTTTGTACTTGGAGAAGAGCGGGTTGACGAAGTAGGAACTCATGACCCTCGCATGCAAGGCGGCGGAGAGGCGGAAAGAGGGGAGCGCGGGGCTGGGGGGAGCTTGGGGCGGTGGGGGAAAAGGGGAGCGGAGAGGGAAGGGTTAAAGGGGGTTGTAGTGGTGGTGCGGGGAAAAAGGGGGGTTGGTGGGGAGAAAATGGGGAAAAAAAGGGTGTTGGTGGGGAGAAAATGGGTTTTAGTGCCCCCGAAATTTTGGGTTAACGCGGGGGGAAAATCCGCGTAACGCCGGGGGAAAATCGGGGTAACGCCGGGGGAAAATCGGGGTAACGCTGGGGGAAAATCGGGGTAACGCTGGGGGAAAATCAGGGGGAAGGCGGGGGGAAAAAATCGGGGGTAACTCCGGAAAAAAGCAGGGATAACGCCGGGAAAAATTCGCGGTTAACTCCGGAAAAAAGCAGGGATAACGCTGGGAAAAATTCGCGGTTAACTCCGGAAAAAAGCAGGGATAACGCCGGGAAAAATTCGCAGTTAATTCCAAAAGAAACCAGGCTCAACGCCGGGAAAAATTCGCGGTTAACTCCGGAAAAAAACAGGGTTAACTCCGGGAAAAAATCGCGGTTAACTCCGGAAGAAACCAGGGTTAACGCCGGGAAAAAAATCAGGGTAACGCTGGCAAAAAAATCACGGTTAACTCCGGAAGAAACCCGGGTTAACACTGGAAGAAATCGGGGTTAACGCTGGGGAAAAAAAAAAAAATTAAAAAAATCAGCATTAACTCTGCGAAAAAATGCCGGGTTAACTCTCTGCCAACAAAAAATGCGGGTTGACGCTGGTAAAATATCAGGTTGAACTGTGAAAAAAAAAAAAAAATCCGGGTTAACTCTGATAAGGAATCCGGTTTGGTTCTGAAGAGACCCCGCTTTGAGTCTTTAAGGGAAAAAAAAAAAAAAAAAAAGAGGTTGGTTCTGAAAAAAACGCCGCTCTAGGTATTAAAAAAAAAAAAATCCGGGTGAATGCTGAAAAAAATGCTGTTAAATTCTTTGAAAAACCCGCTGTAATCCTCAGGAAAAAAAAAAAAAAAAGCTTTAATCCTGAAAAAAAACCACCACTTTAGCCCTGAAAGAAACACTCTTTAATTCTAAAAAGAAAGGGTTTAACTCTCAAAAAAAAAAAAAAATCCGCTATAACTCTAAAAATCAAAAAAAAAAAAGCAGCAAAGCGAGGTTTGTCCCTCTGAGTGCTGAAGTCCTGCGCTCTTTTTTTTTTTTTAAGAGTGGCTATTTTTCTTTTTTTTTTTTTTTTTTTTAGATTTTTTTGGAGGGTGGCCGCTGTCGGTAAATTTTTTTGTTGTTGGTTTTTTTTTTTTTTTTTTTTTTTTTTTGTTTTTTTTTTTTTTTTTTTTTTTTTTTTTTGGTTGTTGTTGTTGTGTTTTTTAAACCGCGCTCTCAAAGGCGTTCCATGGTGGCTCCGCGCTCGGCGCTCGGTGCTCTTGACTCTGTGCCGCTGTGTCGGTAGGTAGAGCTCTCCTCCCTCCCTCCCTCTCTCTCTCTCTCTCAATTTCTCTTGGAACTCCGCTCCTTCCCTTTAACACCACAGGCAAATTCCTCAAAATCCCGGCGGTGTGGCTTTTTTTTTTTTTTTTTTCCCTGCTCCCTTCTTTCTTTTTTTTTTCCCTTTCCTTTTTTTTTCTTTCCTTTTTTTTCTTTCCTTTTTTTTTCTTTCCCTTTTTTCCTTCCTTTTTTCCCCTTTCATTTTTTCCCCTTCCTTTTTCCCCTTTCCTTTTTCCCCCTTCCTTTTTTCCCCTTTCCTTTTTTCCCCTTCTTTTTTTTTCCTTATTTTTTCTTTATTTTTTTCTTCCTTTCCCCCCCTTCCTTTTCTTTTTTCCCCTTCCTTTTCATTTTTTCCTTCCTTTTATTTTCCCCCTTCCTTTTCTTTTCCCCCTTCCTTTTATTTCCCCCTTCCTTTTATTTTCCCCCTTCCTTTTATTTTCCCCCCTTCCTTTTATTTTTTCCCTTTCTTTCCATTTTCCCCTTCCTTTCCATTTTTCCTTAATTTTCTTTTTTCCCCTTCCTTTTCATTTTTTTCTTTTTTTTTCATTTTTCCCTTCCTTTTCTTATTTCCTTCTTTTTTCACCCCTCTTTTTTTCCCCTTCCTTTTCCCCCCCTTTTTTTTCTCTCCTTTTTCCTCCCCTTCTATTTTCCCCTCCTTTTCTTCCCCTCCTTTTTTCCCCCCTCTTCTTTTTCCTCCTTTTTTCCTCCTTTTCCCCCCTCCTTTTATTTTCTTCTCCTTTCCACCCTCTCTTTTTTCCTTTTTCCCCTTTTTTCCCCTCTTTTCCCCCAATTCCTCTCCCCTCTCCCTCTCCTCCACCTCACAGCGCCCAAATGACCCCAAAATTCCGCTTTTTTCATGGGGGGCAGCGAATTCCCCACCTGAAAACCCCAAAATCCGCGACCCCGGGGGGAGGGGGCCCCTGCAGACCCCAAACCCCCAAAAAACCCCAAAAAAACCCCAAATCTCAACCCCCCCCCATTTTCCTTCCGGGCAGCGGGGAGGTGACCCCGGGTCACCTGCACAGGTAAATCCCAAATTAGGGACCCCCGCACCCCAAAACCCCAATCCCGGGGGATTTTGGGGTGGTTTTCGCTGTTTTTGATGTTTTTGTTGTTTTTGTTGCTGCTGGGGGGTCCCACCTGGTCGGGGAGGGGTCCTAAGGGGGGGATTTCCTCTTTATTTTCCTTATTTTCCCAAATTTCCTAAATTCCTCCCTTCTTTTTTTGGCCTTTATTCCCCTTTTCTCCCCTCTTTCCCCCTTTTTCCTTGTTTGTTTTTTTTGTTTTGTTTTTCTCCCCTTTTTCCCCCACTTTATTTTCCCTTTTCTCTCCTTTTCCCCCTTCTGTTTTCTTCTATTTTCCTCCTATTCCCCCTTCTATTTTCCTTTTATTCCCTTTCCTCCTTTTCTCCCTTTTTCTTCCCTTTTTCCTCTTTCCCTCCTATTTTCCCCCTTATTCCCTTTGCCCCCCAATTTTATCCTTTTCTCCCTCAATTTTCCCCCTTTTCCCCCCTATCTTTTCCCATTTTCCCCCCTATTTTTTCCCATTTTCCCCCTTTTTTTCCCATTTTTCCCTCTTCCCCCCCCATTTTTTTCCTCGCTGTCCTGGTGCTGCTGGGAATCAACCAAACAAAAGCCCCCCCCAAAAAAAAACCCAAAAAACCCCAAAACTGGAGCGAAAATCCCGGGAATTTTCCCCCCTCTGGATCGGCCGCTCCTCTCTGTCCTGGGGAGCGAATAAATCCACAAAACCGCCGAGTTTTTTTCCCTTTTTTTCCCCTTTTATTCCATTTATTTCCATCCCCCCCTCCAATTTCCCTCACCTCCCTCTCCCCTGTTTAACCCAATCCTCTGGAATTCCCAGGGATGGAATTCCGAGGGAGAAATTGAATTTTTGGCTGTTAAAAAAATCCACTTTGGAGGCAAAGTCAGGCTGCCCTTTGTGCGCGCTGCTAAAACACAAAAAAAACCCAAACAAAAACCAAACACCACCACCAAGCCCACCCAGACCCTTTTCCCCCCTTTTCCAGCCCAAAATCCCGATTTTTTTTCCCATTTTCCCCCTTTTCCAGCCCATTTCTGAGCCTTTGGGCCTCTTTTTTTTTTTATTTATTTCTTTTTTTTTTCTTTTCTTTTTTTTTTTTTTTTGTGTGACCACCCCCTGCAACCTTTCGTGTGGACGGAACTGCTTGAAAACACCAAAATCACCCCAAAATCCGACGGGTTTTGTTCATTTTGGGTTTTTTTTTTCAGGTTTGGGGGGGAGGAAAGCATTTCCCAAAGGAATTTTTGCTGCGGAGACGCCAAAAATGCCCCAAATCCCCCCAAAATTCCACCACCCCAACCCCATCAAAGCCCTCCCAAACCTTTCTCCTCCCTAAAGAATAAAAACTAAATTATTTTCAGAATGATTTAAATTCCGATTTCCACAAAACCTCCTCAACCTCGAGGTTTTCCTGCCCTGCAAAATTCACGTTTTTGGGTTTATTTTCAGCCTTTGGGGTGGCTCCAGCCTCAGGATGGGTTAAAATTTGAGTTTTTAAATAATTTTATTTATTTTTTTTAATTTTTCCACACACCTCCCCGAGTATAGGACCAACCCCCAGCCCACCTTGAGCCGATTTTCCCGTTTTTTCCCCTTTTCACCCCATTTTTTCCCTGGAGAAGGCGGCGCGGGGAGGGGGGATGTGCGGGCAGACAATGAACTCATTTCCACCCAGCCTCCAAATATTCACATTTTTAACGCGAAATTCCCATTTTCTGCCACGAAACCCCCCCAAACCCTCCCGATTCGCGCGGAATTCCGCGGCTCCGGCTCCTTTTTCCCCAAATTCCGCCGTTTTCCCCCCAAAATGAAGGGAGGGAAGAGCAGCCAAGGACAAGAGAGGCTCCGCAATTCCCAGTGACCGAATTTCTCCTCCCTAATCAATAATTTCTATTTTTAAACCCCCAGCGCCGATCCAGGGGCGAAAATAAATTGGAATTTTCAGCTCAGGGTGGGGGGAAGAATTTTTGTTCTTTTTCTTTTTTTTTCTGGATAAAAGCGCAGATTTCCCTCCAAAATCATCTCATTTTAACTTGGGGACAAACATCGGGATTTTGGTGAAAGGAGCCCCCCCGGCCCCTCCAGGATTTCTGGCAACGCTAAAAACGCGATTCCCGCTGTTTCATTTTTAAGGGAATATCCCGATTTTTGGGGGGCTGCTCTTTGTCTGGGGCGCGGGGTTGGGGTTTTTGGGGGCATTTCTTGGGTTTTGAGGATTTTCTGTCCCCCCTCCTCCTCCCTTTTGCCCTGACCTTCACTGGAAAATGTCATTTTCTGCTTCCCCACCCCGGAGCGCGGCGGGAGACGTGAGGGGCGTAAATAAAGAGGAGGAAGGGGGGGAAATGAGCAAAAATCAGCGCCGCAGACACTCCAAAAAAATTACTTTTTTTTTTTTAAACTGCATTCAATTTTTTTTTTTTTGGGGGGGAGTGGGGGAGATTTTACACCCTCGGATGCACCTCCGAGGAGGAATGAGGGGGGCAAAAAAAACCCCAAAAAAACCCCAAAAAACAGAAAATAAAAGAAAAAATCGGATTTAAAATAAAATTAATTTATGTAAAAAAAAAATTAAATAGAAAAATAATTAAATAAGATTAGCAAAATAAAGAAAGGACGCGTGACGGGATTTTTTAAGGGCGTTTTTGGGGTTTTGGAGCGGGGGTCGCGGGGTCGCTCCGCGGGTGCGGAATTGGGGGGGGGGGAGGGGCCCCTGCGCGAACCCC